CAACGGGACTTCTTCTTATGGGGCCCGGGCTTTGGGCCCCATAAGGATCAGTTGGTCCTCACAATGCAGTATAAGTTGGAAAAATGGGCCTCACAAAGTAACATAAACAAGGGCACACACACACACACCACAGTCACATGATCACCCAGCTTTTGTGGAGGCAGATGATGAAACAAAACTGAGTGTCTGATGTCATTTATTTCCTGCTATGGTCCCATATTAGCCTGCATAGTCTTTTTTTAATTATGTATTAGGCGGAAATAAACATCACTGACTTTATTACAAGTTTCTCATCATCACTGTAGAGTAAGAAAGAACTTTGTTCACCAAGTAACAATCTGAACTGAAAACCATTTAGCTGTAAGGTCATGATGTAAATAATAATACCATAATCTGACTGTGGTGAGGCCCAGAGACCAAAAGCACAAACTCTAAATCCTTCTTCTGGTCACTATGACTACAAATCCTTGAAACAATGCTTTTATTGTTACTAACACGGCAGTGTTTTAAATTAGATCAGTGCATCAACCACATGGGTCTTTGGTTAGGAAGTGTTGTAACCATATGTTGCCTCGCCTCTTTATTTATGAAATATTGTAAGACTTATATGGTTTTATTGGTGTCCTGCTGTCATTGTGGTAATACATTAGTGATCAAGTGCACAGGCTCACAGTGTGGTTGCTCCTTGTGATTATATAGCTCACAGCATGTGTCACAAGTCTTGAATTTCCTCTTTTTTCCAGATGACTGAGGGCAGATTGTGTCAAGTTCAGCTGCTGGACGACAGGAAGCTGGAGCTGCTGGTTCAGGTACAGATGCTCTCACATAATAAAACATAAAAACGCTTGTTTTTCCCCAAAGAAAACTTTTGAATGTTGTGTAAATTGTAAAACAGATGACAATGAATTGCAAATTTCATTAACCCATATTTTAACAAATTTTGAAACAGCAAAAAAAAAAAAAAGGTAATTTAGAATTTTATTGTAGCGGCAAAACTCAGAACAGTTGGGACATAGTCAAGTTTACAATGTAAGCATCCCCTCTTTTTTAACATCAGTCTGTAAACATCCAGGAACTGAGGAGAGCAGCTGCTGGAGGTTGTGGAGGGAAACGTTGTTCCATTCTTCTGATGTAGAATTCTAGCTGCTCAACAGTCGTGGGTCTTTGCTGGATGGGAGCATATGTTGCTCTTAAACAAGTATGCACATTTCTGTGTTGATAGTGTCTTTCCAGATGTGTGTGCTGCCCACTCCAGAGGTTACAATGCACCCTCATACCATCAGAGAAGCAGGCTTGTAAGCTGTGCACTCTTGGTCCCTGTCATTGTTAAAACAAAGGACATGGTGTCCAAGTTAGAAATGGAAATTCCAACTTCTCTTCATCTGACCACAGAACAGTTTTCCTGTTTGCCTCAGTCCAGTTTAAATGAGCTTTGATTCAGACAGGGGATGCATTTCACATATGGCTTATTCTTTTGCTTGATAGAGCTTTAAGTTAAAATTGAGGATGGGACAGTAAATTGTGTTTATAGACAACAATCTGTGGGAAAGTTCCTGAGCACACACAGTGATGTCCAGAACAGAATCAGTCTGGTTTTTAATGCAGTGTTGTCTGAGGACCCCAAGATGGCAGACATTGGAGACTGACTTTGAGTCTTGTCCTTTAAGTTCAGAGATCTCTTCAGATTCTTTAAGCCTCATCTTTGCTCCAGCATCAACGTGTGGCATGGAGGCTGCACAGCTGCAGAAAGAAAAGCTTTGTAGAGAGTGGTGAAGGCTGCACAGAAGATGTTGGAGTCAGTCTCCCCACCATCACAGACATCTACACCTCCAGATGCAGGAAGAGGACCACCTGCATCATGAAGGACCCCACTCACCCGGCACACTCAGACTTTTTGCCCTGCTCCCCTCAGACAGGAGGTTGAGGAACATTAAGTGTAGAACCACTAGGCTGAGGAACAGCTTCTACCCTGAAGCTGTTAGACTCATGAATCTCTAATCAGGATAATCCCTGTGAAAAAAAATCACTATAATGCAACTTTGATTGTTATGTGCTGCTGATTATCCATGCTGCTGATCTCATGCTGCTGATCTCATGAGTTTCTGCCATTAAACTCAAAATTACCTAGCTTTGACAAGAAAGGAAATAAAGAAGTACAATATCTTTCTTTCAGAATTTAATGTTTATTATGTTCAACTGTAAAAAGAATGAGTTTACAAAATTTGTACATTATTGCATTTCATTTTTATATACATGTTACATGTCCCGATCTCTCTACGATTATGCTTGTAAAAACTGTATGAGAGTCAAAGAAATTGCAGACTGAACTTAAAGTCATTGGGTGGTAAAGTCAATAGTTTAAAATGGATAAAAGCTCAAAACATTGTGACATACATAACGAGAAACAAGACGCCTTTTTCACAGCGGTGTACGTTGTGTTTTATTTTCAGTGTTTGTCAAACGGTTCCGAAAATACATTTAACACATTTCATTAAACGTGAACATTCAAAAACTAAATCTATCGTCTAAATCTTTCCATTCCAGCCGAAGCTTCTGTCGTATGAGCTCCTCGACTTGGTGTCCTCCCACTTCAACCTGAAAGAGAAGGAATTCTTTGGGCTTGCTTTTTTTGACGACAAGTATGCAAAGTTCTTGTTCTTGCTAAAGTAATATTTAAAGGTGTTTCTGTGCACGTTAGCAGAAAGCAGCTTTCTAACACTTCTGCTTGTTTGCCTCTGCAGCAGTCAGTGTAAGTGGTTGCAGATGGACCGCAGGGTTCTTGAACACGACTTTTCGAAGAAGGCTGGAGCCGTTTCTCTGAACTTCCTGGTCAGGTAATCTGATAGTGGAAAGCACAACATGGCTGACATCACATATTACCAACACAGTTTGAACAGGATTAACATGATAATGTTTTCTTTGACTGTGGCAGGTAAACATTTGGCTCCTACTGTTTTGTAGCAACTCATCCACCCAAGTCTAATTGTTAAGTCATTTCAGTCATTTCAAAGTGAGGCTCGGTGGAAAAGAACAGTTATTTACTTACAAATGTATAGTTACCGTACTTTCCACCGTATACGTCGCATCAGTCCACATATGTCTAATAAAGTGGGAAAAAAAAACATAAAGATGTCGCTTCGCCATATAAGTCGCATCTATTATGTGTCACCACTGACAACCCAGTAATGTGGGCCGGTGTTGTGCCAAAAATTGATCGGCTGTCAAATGGTGGGCGCGGGAGCGTGCACCGGAGGACTTTAACAAGAATTTAACAAGATTAGCTCTTAAAAACAATTATTTGTTTGCTCGAAATTATAGTAAAGGTGTGTCTCAGTTGAACTTTTACTTAATAAATGCACTTTAATGGTCAAATCAGCTGCATTTCGCCTGTGTGTGTGTGTGTGTGTGGGGGGGGGGGGGGGGGCAGCAAAATGCAGCTGATGTGACGTTGGCTCCAGGAGTTCCAGAGCGAGACGAAGGTGGTTTAGTATGGCAAGCCAAGTGTCTCATTAATAGCCACTTTTACCTAATAATGAGACACTTGGCTTGTAACATTAGTCGAGGGCCCTCTAGTGGTTGAAAATGGTAGTGTTCAATATTTTCCATGTCAGAATGAATGAAATCATCAGATCTCAGCCAAAAATTGTGTTATAAATATGGGAGGAAAAACATAAGTCACTTCGCTGTATAAGTCGCAGGGCGTGCTAATTTATGCAAAAAGGTGCAACTTATATAGAGAAAAGTACGGTATATGGAAGTGCAAAAAATATAAATGGTGAGAGGTAGAAGCTTGGGTCCACTTCCAGCAGCAATGTGATAATACTTCTGCTGAAATAAGAGTGCAATGCAAAATTACAATGTTGTGATGTTAACATTTACTTAAACCACTAAAAAGTTAGGATATTGGAATTGTTTCAAGGTAGAAAATTTGTCTTGGAAATTAGTCTGCTCAGACTGTACTGATGAATGTATAATGGCTTGTCGAAATAGATCAACTTCCAAAACAGATTTTTCCATCTTAAAACCATTACAGTCTCCAAAGTTTCATAGTTGTTTATGTATCGTTTTACTCTGTTTTTGAGTTTGCATGGTTGTTTTGGCAGAAATATCTTGATACTCCTGCCTCAAGGTCATCATAAGTGCCACAGCTAGCTGCTGCTACAATCTGTGATTTTAAATAACCATAGAACTCTATGCAAATCTCCATGTAATGCAAACAGGAAATTGGTGCAAAGGTTTATAAAACATTAGCAAAAACTGCTATCATTTTTTTTTTTTTTTTTTTTTTTAATGGCAGCAATCCGGCAGTACGATGGCTCAGTGGTTAGCACTGTTGCCTCACAGCAAGAAGGTCCTGGGTTCAATCCCCGGTTGAACCTGGGGTCTTTCTGTGTGGAGTTTGCATGTTCTTCTCGTGCTTGTGTGGGTTTTCTCCGGGTACTCCTGTTTCCTCCCACAGATCAAAAACATGCATGTTAGACTGCCTTCAGACCTCATTTGCAAAAGAGATCTGTGATCTCAATGGGATTTGTCTGGTTAAATAAAGGTTAATAATAATAACAAATAAATAAATCCTCTTGTCTTTGGTTGTGTTTGGTATAATCATTAGCTCGTCTGTTCTATTGGGCTTTATTTCACCAAACTAAGTTTGTTTGAAGATCTATCTGCATCAAGTAAGATATTAATTGTTCATTAGCTGTCCACAGTATCTTAATGGCGGGACTTTCCCTATAAACATCATTACTTTCAGTACAAATGAAGATTTCGTGAATCAAAATTCACAAGCTCAATAATTAGTTATCTTATTTAAGTGTTAATTTTAATTCCTAAGTCTTTGCTTTCATCTTTGACAGGTTTTATCTAGAAAACATCACACAGCTAAAGGACACCATAACAGTGGAGTTATTCTTCCTAAATGCAAAATCAGCTGTCTACAATGTAAGTGTGTGCTTTCTGTCTTTTTATGGGATTATAAACAACAAAAAACAGATTTTGCTGCAGTTGTTTTTCCATCAGAAGCTCTCCAGTGATTCACTGTCTCTGAACTGTGCACTTCAGCCCAGCAGACGGTGGCTGCAGGGCACAGATTTCTTACTGCTGGCTGGAATGTAAAGTGCACAGAGTGAGAACGAAGCAAAAACAACAACCAAACTTTAGTTTGTGAATAAGCAGAGGTTATTGAGGGGCACAGGGAATATTCTCTGGTTGTATCTGAAATGCAAACACGTTTTTTTTTTCTCAACTTACTTCTTTCTTTTGGCCTTATGTTTCTCAGGGGATGATTGAAGTGGAAACTGAGAACATCTTCAGACTAGCTGCAAATGCCCTGCAGGTTTGCTCATTTAATGGTCTCTCATGCATACTGTATATTAATTGCTACTTCTAAAAGCATCTGATCTAACAAGACGTTGTTTTTTGTAATTATCAGGAGGCAAAAGGAGACTATACGAGGTAAGAGCACATGATGAGCAGGAGTATTTAACAGCAGCAGGATGAGTTAATAGTGAGCTGTTGGAGAAGGCGTTCAATAGGTCGCTTGTTTCTCTGGTGCAGACAACAAAAATCAATCGTGTTACTTTGTGAGGCTCACCACAGAGCGCTGGGAAGCTTGCACCAGACAGATAATGAATTTCACAATGCTGATAGAAGCCAAGTCACTGCTGAGCAGAGACACCTTTACATGCACACACTGGCTATTATCAAGCAGGGATATAATGCTGGCTGTGTTCAGAGGAATACTGCGGGTGGTGGTGGTGCACGCTGCCACCTGCATCAGACCCACTGCAGAAACAAGATGATTTAGAAATACATGTTACTGACTATCATGGATGTTACTGTTGTTTCATCCTCGGTATCTTTTAAAGAATTGGTGGTGTGTGGGTGTGGGAGGACGATGAGGTGTGGTGATAGGAGGAAGAAGCTGGCCACAAGTTTTCTCAAGCTCACCCTCATTTATCCATATATTGCAGAACAATGTCAGTATTTTGAAAATTGAAAAAAAAAAGATAATTGTTGACTTGTGGAGTTTATTTTTCTTGAACGTGTGGAAAGAATTGTCATGCGGGGGAAATACTTCAGATCAGAACAACATCTGTGTGCTTTGGCACAGATTGTACATATTTCTGCAACACGTTATCCTCAAAGGTTTGACCTCAGTAGCTTTTGTTCAATGATGGTGGTTCAGAATCTCGTGGATTTTAGTGAGTCTTACTGGAGGAGCATGGACCACATCTGGTCCTTCTTACAATTTGATCCGTCCTGTGAAATATCATTTTCAATTTATTTCAACTTGCCCATCTGTGGAAGACTCAGTTTTTGTTTCTTCTTAAGTTGCTTAAAATTTTAGTTTGTTTTGTGCAAATTTCACCTCAATCAGCCAACTTTAAAGCAAAAATAAGAACTTTTATTTCTTAGTGTTTGATTTTGATGTCAAAAGACAAATCTCACGAGTCAGTTCAGCACAGATCTCTTCTCATGCCACCTTCCTACGAAGACACCAACAGCAACATGAAAAAAGACCTTGGTGCCTAAATAATACCACTAGTCATCTCAACTCAGTTGATTATTTTCTCAGTTTTCTGGGGTTTTTTTCTCTTCCAGTGATGAAAACACTCGAGCTGATTTGAAGAAACTCCCAACTCTTCCCACCAAAGTGCTGAAGGAGCACCCGTCTCTTGCATATTGGTAAGCTTTCAGGAAATCACCTACTGCAAAGGCAAAACAGTGGCTTTGTTTTTGCCTGCATCGGTGTGCACGTGTACAACCTTTACCATCCATCCATCCATTATCTTTTTACCCGCTTCTTCCATTTTGGGTCATGGGGGTCGCCGGTGCTCATGTCCAGCAATCACTGTGCGAGGGGCGGGGTACACCCTGGACGGGTACAACCTTTACCATCTGGCTTACAATTCTGTCCCCTTTGATCAAGGGATGATTTTAATGTAAAACTCTGGAGTGCAAATGTAAATGTTGTTTCTGGGTGTAAATTGCTTCTTTTTTTTTTTGGATGATTGTTTCCTCTGGTATCAGATGCTGTGCAGCTGGAAGGATTTTTTTACTGAAAACTTTTTGCTTTTGGGCATTTGTTATGATGCGTAACCATGGCAACAATGTGGTTTTTACAACTAGGAGCAGCTGATTAACAGCTCAAAAGCTCAAATAATACCTCAGCTACAGCCCCAAATCACAAATGAGTTAAAAAGGAGGTGCCGTGAATGCATCCCCGTCTACCTGGCGGAGGTGCTTGAGTACCTGACCTCCGAGATCCTGAAGCTGGCGGGAAATGCGAGTCGTGACTACAAGAAGACCAGGATCATCCCCTGACACCTGCAGCTGGCTGTCTGCAGTGATGAGGAGCACAACAAGTTGCTGGGATGAGAGATCATTGCACAGGGAGGAGTTCTGCCCAAGATTCAGGTGGTCCTGCTGCCCAAGAAGACAGAGAAACCCACCAAGTCCAAGTAGACGGATCAACATCTGCAAACAGTTTCTTCAGATCTTCTGTAAGACAGACCGCTACAAGAGATCCTTCCTGCCCACAGCCATGAGCATCTATAATAACTTTTTAATGAGACCAGGATGATGAGCTACAACAACATTTCATTTCCCTTTGGGATTAATAAAGTATTTTTTAAATTGAATTGAATATATTTGGTGGATATTGCAAGGCATTTAATCATCTAGACTGAAATCTTTTTGGAAACAAGTTGAATGCTTTACATGCAGCCACACGAGCAGTTACATTCAAATTAGATTTAATCACCCAACAGAACGAATAATGTAATTTTTCATTTGATTACAAACAATAAAACAAACCATTCTGTGCCTTTCTGCAGTGAGGATCGAGTAATCGAGTATTATAAGCAGCTGAAAGGTGTCTCCAGAGGACAGGCCATTGTGCAGTAAGTAGTGAACCAAAGTGTGCAATTGTTTCAATTCCTTTAACACGTGTAATGCAATTAGGCTGAAAGTTCATTAATGTTTCTGTCAACTCCATCAACCCTTTCCATTTTCCCCTGCCTTCCTGGCACAGCTGGCTCAAAGCATCTGTTGGAAATCAATATCAGCTCTTCAGCTGCAGTCGAATCCCACTGACTCACTCAGTTTCCTATTCGTCTCTGTTCACTTTTCAAAGATAAACCACAGACAAATCATACAAACCAGCTGCCATTTTTAATAAACGTTTTGTCCTCTAGGTACCTGACGCTGGTGGAATCATTGCCAACATATGGCGTTCATTATTTTGAGGTTAAGGTAGGCCTTTGGATGTGACTCATAGGAAATGACAGCTCTTGCACCTGGAGTGGAGGCAGCAGAGTGAGGTGTGCGTGCTCTTTTCCTCGCAGGATAAACAGGGGATCCCCTGGTGGCTCGGAGTCAGCTATAAGGGCATCGGCCAGTACGATCTGCAGGACAAGTTAAAACCTCGGAAGGTAAACATTCACTAAAATGGCTGGTTTTTTTTTCACTCTAATCTGATTGCACAGGGTGAGGACTGCTGCTGTTGCACACGAGTGCAGTGATTCACCAGCTTTAATTCATGCACCACGGCTCGCACCTCCTGGAAAAACTTGGCTTCAGCTCTTGCAGACGAGGCCAGACATGAAAATACTGGAACAGCGTCTCAGTTTAAAGGAATCTGTCAGTTTGTTTGATTAAGACTAGGGAGTATTTTTAAATGTTTTTTTTTTTTTTAAATTGGAGAGTCATGTGGACAGCAGGAACATGCTTTTCTTGTTTCGTTGTTTCAGCCCATGAGCTGACAAAAGAAAGCCATGTGAGGGATCAGGCAGCTGTGCTCTGTGACGTCAGAAGCGCAGGATAGAAATGAAGGTTCGAAACGTTTCGTTGCTTTCCTTTTGAAGCTCTGTGACGTCGCAGTGTGAAGCAATCCGTCTGTGACTGGTGCATCCTGGAGTTGTGCAAGAAGTCAGCTGATCCGCGTGTTTTCAGAAAATAGAAGAGGGAGTGAAATGATGAGGTCGAAGCGGGGAAGAAAAGGGCTGGATCTGGGCGTTCAACATGAATGTTCAGAGAATACCTGACGAGACAAGTCGGGAGCTGACAGGGGACAGAGTAAAGTGAGTGTGTGGGCAGCAACGGCACAGAGGATTCCCTGTTTTCTGAGGATCCACTGGTAAGACTGCATGTGACGCTTTGTTCTGTAACTTTGAGGACTTTCTTGAAACTGGGTCTTTGTTCAAAGAGTAAATTTTTAATCTGATTTAAGAAGTTTGCCCCCCAGCACTTCTTTGAGTTTTACTTGTGTCTCGTTCAGATTTTGTCCAGACACATGAGTCAGTGACCCTAATGTTCATATCTGGCTGCTGACGGCGAGCAGCTGGTTGATAGTAGGGGCAGATGGAATGAGCCATGGAAAGTATTGTGTGTTACGATGAATCTTCACGTAATGTTCCTCTGTGGTGTTTTTCTCAGTCACACACCTGGATTACTTCAGACTTGCCATGTCAGGCAGCTCAGACTGTAATGACAGTTCATGATAGAGTCTGGCTTTTTGATGATGATGATGGGAGAAACAACTAGCGAAACGCCTGAAACACATTTTTTCCACCAAAAAAGTTGATTGAATCAGTGTTGAAATGAGGATTTAAATGGATTTAACAGTTTTGTGGGATTTGGGTTAGAATCTCCCTTTAAAAACAAACCCTGCAACAAACATATCTCTGTAATGAGATTACTTTTTTCACATTTTAACCTGCAGCTCTACCAGTGGAAGCAGCTGGAAAACTTGTACTTTCGAGAGAAGAAGTTTGCTGTTGAAGTTAATGATCCACACAGGTGAGCAAAAACTGAGATCTTTTTCCTCGTTCTGATAAATATTTGTACAAGATATTATTATCTCCTGCCAACAAAACGTAAAAGGTATGTTTTTGTCCATGTCTTGTTTATCTGTTAGCAAAATATCTCATGAACCACTTAACAGATTTTGATAAAACTCTCAGAAAGGGATAAATGGATGAACTTTCATAACTTCACTTGTCATCTCCATTTAAGATGGCTGCCACAGTAAAATTAACGAACACAAAAGTGGATTTATCTTAGTCGTCTTTACAGATATTCAGTTAAAATTATGTGTGGTAGCATCTGAAAGTCATCCCTACACACATTCTGAGTGCTAAACATTTTTCAAGATCTGCCATTAAAACTTAGACGTCATCTATTCAGTCAACTCTCTCTGTTAGAAAAATATCTTGTGAACCACTGAATGGATATTATTGAAATTTTTAGAATTTCCCAGGCCAGCTGAGAGACATAGCCTCTTCACTGTGTTGTGGGTTTACCCTGGGGTCTCCATCCAGTAGGACATGCCCAGATAACCCTCTAGGCAGGTGTCGAGGTGGCATCCTAACCAGATGCCCAGACCACCTCAACTGGCTCCTCTCGATGTGGAGGAGCAGCTCCATTCCTCCATCACTTATGAACCAAACCTTGTGCTACTTAAACTCCTCCCCTTGAGGCACCACCTCACTCCCAACCCAGTGAGTGCAGTCTACCCTTTTCAGACTGTGGACCAGGGCCTCAGATTTGGAGGTGCTGATCCTTGTCCCAGCTGCTTCAAATTCAGCTGTGAACTTTCTAAATGAGAGCTAGAGATCACTGTATGATGATGCCAACAGGACCGCATCATCAGCAACAGCAGAGACAGAATCCTCAGGTCACCGAATCGGACACTTCCATCCACGGGCTGCGATGAGAAATTTTGTCCCTAAAAGTTATGAACAGAAACTGTGACAACCAACAGCCCTGGCGGAGTCCGACTCTCACCCTGAACGGGTCCAACTTACCGCCGGCAATAAAAATCAGATTCTCGCACCGTTTGTATAAGGACTGAACGGACCCCCAGTCCCCTATTCATGGATCATTCCCTACAGCATACCCAGGGAACATGGTCTAATGCCTTTTATAAGTTCAGAAAACTTACGGATGCATCTCAGAAAATTAGAATATCATGAAAAAAGTTGTATTTTTTGTCAGTCGCTTCAGAAAGTGAAACTTGTGTGGATTCATTAGAGTGAAATATTTCAAGCCTTTATTTCTTGTAATTTTGATGATTATGGCTTACATATAATGAAAAGAACAAAATTAAGTGTCTCAGAAAACTAGAAAACTCCACAGCCAGCTTTTGGTACCTTTGTCAATGTGGACAGGAGCCAAGTCCTGCTGGAAAATGAACTCAGCATCTCTATAAAGCTTGTCAGTAGAAAGAAGTATGAAGTATCTAAAATGTCCTGGTAGATGCTGCATTGACTGTGAACTTCAAAAAACCCAGTGGACCACCACCAGCAGAGGACATGGACCCAAACCATCACTGTCTGTGGAAACTTCACTCTGGACTTGAAGCAGCGTGGATTCTGGGCCTCTCCACTCTTCCTCCAGACTCTGGATCTTGATTTACACGTGACAGGAAGTTTTACTTTCATCTGAAAAGAGGACATTGGACCTCTGAGCAACACTCCAGTTCTTTGTCTCTTCAACCAGATAAGACACTTCTGATGTCTCTGGTTCAGGAGTGGCTGGACTTGAAGAATGAGACATTAGTAGCTCAAGACTAGGAGTTAATCAGCTGATCAAGGTGTGACACCAGGAGTTTCCAATGTTGAACCTCGTCACAATATTCTAATTTTCTGAGACACTGAATTTTGATATTTCATTATTTGTAAGCCATCCATCCATCCATCCATCCATCATCTTTTACCCGCTTCTTCCATTTTGGGTCACGGGGGTCGCCAGTGCCCATGTCCAGCAATCAATGTGCGAAGAGCGGGGGACACCCTGGACAGGTCACAAATCCATCACAGGGCCATATAGAGACAAACAACCATTCACTCTCTCACTCACACCTAGAGACAATTTAGAGTTATCAGTCAGCCTAACATGCACGTTTTTGGTCTGTGGGAGGAAACTGGAGTACCCGGGGAAAACCTACCCATGCACGGAGAGAACATGCGAACTCCACCCAGAAAAGCCCCTGGACCAGGATTTGAACCAGGGTAACATGCTTGCTGAGAGGCAGCAGCTGTGCCACTGTGCTGCCCTATTTGTAAGCCATAATCATCAAAATTACAAGAAATAAAGGCTTGAAATATTTCACTCTATGTGTAATTAATGTATATATGAGTCACTTTCTGAAATGACTGACAAAAAAAGAACTTATTCACAATATTCAAATTTTTTTAGATGCACCTGTATGTAGACTGGTGGGCAAACTCCTATGAGATTGAGGAGGTCTTCAAAAAATTCCTTCCACTGTTTGATGACATGTATGGTTGAGGTCAACAACACTTCAGCTCCATTATGCACAGTATAAGGTGCTGCTTTCCCCACCTCAGTTGCTTGATGGTTTGCCCTCATCTTCTTGGAGCTGATCCATTGTCTTTATCTAAGGCCTCACTGTACTTCAATTCATATGAGCCTTTGCCTCTACAACCACTAGGACTGCATCCCACTTGTCTCACCAATACACTAGAGCTGTGTCTGTAGACCTACAAGCTAGCAAGGCCCAATTGAATGCCTTCAACTTGACAGCCTCCTTCACCAGGGGTGTCCACCAATGGGTTTGAGATACCAACGACCTTGCGACAGCCTTCTTAACAGTGGAGGTTCGGAACATGGCCTAGGTGAATATAATGTCCCCCACCTCTGCTGGAGTATGGTTCAAATTCTGTTGGAGATGGGAATTTATTTTTCTTGACAGCTTCTTCCGTCAGCCGTTCAATCTGTAGCAACAGCCTTGGGTTTACTGGCTCTGTCCAACTTCTTTCTTCTGCCATCTGATCCAACTCACAACAGGGTGTTGATTAGTTGATAGTTCAGCTCTGTTATCAACTGATCAAATGTTGACAGCTTCATATGTTTTAGCCTCCAACTGATCCATGTTTTCATTACTAATCCAAAGGGATTATCCACGATGCTACAACTTTCACATAAATGATTTTTTTCAAAAAGCTGCCTATCGCTTAGATTTTCCGTCTGTTCTTCAGGAGAGCAGTAACCAAACGCACCTTTGGGCAGACAGCTCTACTCATTCACACGTGGTATGCCAGCCACTCTTTGATCAAGACTATTTGGGTCATGGCCATCAGCCAGCACCAGTTCTACTTGGACAGAAAGCAAAGCAAAGTAAGTGTCAGCTACAGGTACTACCGGTTTTGTCTTTACCCTGTCCACACCTTTTGACTTATCCTTTAGTTATATTCAATATTGTTTTAGGCAAAATTAGGACCAGCTAAAAGTTTGGAAGAAATTGCCATGGAGCTCACAGAGCATGGAGGAGCAAAGCTGAACAGACTGGGAGATGATGGTCAGAAGAATAACCTTATAACAGCCAGCAACGGGAGCCTGGTGTCTACAGGTTGGCTTCAAACAATTTAAACAATTCACTTCATAGAGCACATTAGGTTTGATGTATATCCTGATTAAGTTTATTGTTCAAAATCGAAAGAGAAACTGAGCATTCTGGGAAGTAAAACCGCGAGACATGAAAAATCATCCTATATCTGTTTTTTTTTTTTCAGGTTCTGCCGACTATGAAATGAGTGAGGAACAGAAGAAAGAAAAACTCTCTGAACTGAGGAAAAAAGAACAGGACATCCAAGATATTCTGGCCAAAAAAACAAAAGAACTGAAGAAGATTTGCCTCAGAGAAGCGGTGAGAAATGAATTTTTAATAAAGCTCTTCTACTCTGATTAAAGACTGAAATCCTTTTTAATATTGATAAGCCTTTTTACTTTGCAGGGGGTGGTCTGATTGCTTTTACTTTTAGTTTGAATAAATGTTATGGCTTTGTCCTTTCAGGAACTAACTGGCAAGCTGCCAAAAGAGTATCCCCTGTCTACAGGTGAAAGACCGCCGCAGGTCAGACGGCGAGTTGGTACCGCCTTCAAGCTAGATGAGCTTTTCCCTTACAACGAGGTCGGTATTTACCTGATGAATCAAATATAGCAGCAAGTTTGAGTTTTGTGACACTGTTTAAATGTACAACACGCAGTTTGTTGAAGTTCTTGCATTTGTTTTAGTTTAAAGGTTAAACTGAGATTACAGTAAATATGAATCCTGGATTTTTCATTGAGTAACAGTGTTGTGTTTAATATGCATGACTGAAGTACATACTGTATTGCAGTTGATGACACATTCAGAGATTACAATGACTCGCACACTGTTTGAGGTCATATGGCATGGTATTCTTAAAAGTGTTCCTGACACCAGATTTGTTACATCCCTAATAATGAATCAGAACTGGAAATGGACAACAGTACTTGAGTACTTGATCCTTCCATTGATTTTTTTGTGTGGATGGGCTTCCTATTGCTGATGTTTGCAGGATCCCTTCCTGAGGAACCTGGAGAGCAGATTTGCCCTTCAGCAGAAGATCGTTGAGGCAGCTAAAAAGCTCGCAAATGAGCCAGAACTGTGCAAAACAGTGAAGAAGAAGAGGAGGAGGAACTGTTTGGATGCTATGCACAAACTCCAGCAGATAGAGAATGAAATGAACCAGTACAGAATCAAAAAGGGGAAAAAGCCCACACAACGTGCCTCTGTGATCATTGCAGGTATAGTGCCAGTTCATCACTGCATTCATTATTCAGCTACACTTGCAACGTATTTGAAGATGTTTTCTTTCTTTGTAGATGAACTAATCCAGTCAGACTGTGGCTCTCTGTCTAGTCTCCCATTAGATGATGGTGAGTCGGTTGTAAAGTTTGCTCAGACCATTAGATCTGCTGCAGTCTTGGTGAGAAGCATTAACTTCTGTTGTTTTATTGTGTGTATTTAGAAGACTCGGACAGTGCAGGTCAAAGACCACGGTCACGCTCAGTCCAGGGTTCACCTCAGCTCAGTCCGATGCGATCTCTGGGAGCAGAATATGATGTGGAGAGACAAGGAGCCCCCAATCATCACAAAAACAACAGGTGCCCTAACATTCTTCCCCAAACTAACAGTGATAAATATAAAGATAGCATGCACTGTCAGCTTTGTCATGTCATGTTTGCAGCCTTATTTCTTTCCTCACATTTCATCCATATTTTTTTCTTGTTCTTATACTGAAACCGTTTAGAAAAGCTTTTGATGGCATGGAGGCAGCCCATACCTGCCAGAATCCAAGAGAGGTCTCCTCCACCCACAGTAGTCCCTGTAAAACCCTTCCTAGACCTCCTAGAGATCCTCGCAGCATACCTCCTACCCCAGTTATGACCCGCAATGCCTACAGCAGCAGCCAGCTCAGGTGTGGTTCTTAATCCTCTGCAGGACCAAGCAGCTACATATCATTCCTGTTAACAATAACTTCATCCAAATGTCACGTTTTCATTCAAAATTTCAAGTTTTACTAAAACTTCCATGCAAAATTTTAATTTCTGCTACTCCTAGTAAATCCAGATCCATTATTCTGTGAATGATTTTGTTTCTTGAAGAATCAGAATAAAACCCGCATCCTTTCTGCAGGTCAGAGGGGTCTCCTCATTGCTTCAGGCATCGCAGTGGAAGTCTGGAGTCTCAGCCACATTTAAGAAAGGACACAGACTGTGAGAAGCCTGTTTTCATCTTGTCGCCATCTCATCGCAGTAACAGCACGGAGGTGTTAGAAGATTGCTCGTCCTACACCAGCCAGTCCAGTCTGGACTGCTGCGGGGCAGCTCACTCCCACTACAGCACATTGGACTCCCGAGCCTCAACCATGCACCGTCTTCACAGGAAACTGGAAGTGTTTGGTAACACTGGAAGCATGCCCAACTTGGTTCAGCACCACTCTAGTTGTAGCTATTCATGCGAGACCTCATCCCACTATGCACCTAGTGCCTACTATGTTGCCGGTTACCCATGCCCCGACATGGAGCCTTACACTAACGGTGCCTACGTATATGAGAGTGACGTTGAAGGCCACTACAACGTCAACCCGTCCTACCAAATGAACAGCTATCATGGACACGACAGATTTAGGCATTACAGCAGCAATGGAGCTGATAGTCTTTCTCAGAACCCTTACGCGACAGTGAGACCACCACGGACCAGAGAGGGGCCCAGAAATGAGCTCTTAGCCAAAAACATGCATAAGGCCTTGGTAGCAGAGCATCTGAGAGGCTGGTACCACCGGAACAAAAGCCCCAGAGAGGGAGGGAGGGGTCTGATGGCTGGATGTGACTTCGACAATGGATCTCAGCTCAGTCTGGGCTACCAAACAATGCCAGCAGCCCTCAGCCACTCGAGCAGAACCACATCTTTCTCCTCAGGTAATTTAATTTTACTGACACGTTTAAAAACCTAATCTGCTTTAGTTTTTTTGCTAGCTTAGAGTCATCTATACTCTAATATGTGGCTGATACTGTTCAGTACAATAATACAGCATCCAAAACAGTGGGCTAGCGATGTGGGATCTGCATGTTGTATCATTAAAAAGAGGTCTTTTTACACAGCAGTCAATAGAGGATGATGGAGAGATGCCACAATTTTATAATCTGATGCCTTAGCAATACATTTTAAAGTTACACAGTTGTTAGAAACAGCATATATTTCTTGAAGGAATACATACTGTCTTTCATATCAGAGTTTTACACTAAGATCCTCTTCTGCTGAGAAATCACAGAATTATGTCAACTTATATTTTTAAAAATTGTGCAATTTAGGTATGCACTTCAAGTATGTGTTAGAAGTTACTCATTTACTATTAAATCAAATTTTAGCTCAGTATCTGTAGAATTGATTGAGTTGAATCGGGTTCACTCCAAAGGTTAGTGAGTTATAGATGTTTGTTTAGTGATTGCCTTCTCAAAGATTCATCAAATGCACCCTGCTGTTCTTGAGATATTTTACTAACAGGCAAACAGACTTGATTCCATCAGGTAATGCCAATGTTTTAACTTGAAGTATATTTTGGGTAAGACTCCCATCATAAGACCAATTTTTTCCCAATATCTGTAAACATAGCTGCAGAAAGTGTTAGTCATTTTTATATTTGCCAAGGTCACTCTGCTGTAGCAGCCATCTTGAATCAGGTTGACTACAAAATAATAATAATAATAATAATTAGTTGTACATGTAAAAATTAAATTATTAATTCAGAGATATAGGGAAATACATTATGGCCCACTGCAAAATGTGATATGGTAACAATACTAGAAATATGGACAAAATGTAACTGGGACATTTGCTTGTGATGGAAACTGGGACATGCTGGATAAAGGCTCTATCATGGGAGGGAATTAATTTTAAACTTTAAATTCATTTTAAAGCTGCAATATTATTTTTATATTAATCTGTTTTAAATAATGAGATAAACAACGTCCATTTGACATTTTTCATTATGGATGCTTTTCTGAAAATCAACTGAAATCAAAACAATAATGCTCACATTCAAAAAATCTATAACAAAAGTATTTT